GGTGTGTGTGTGAGCAGGGCCTGGTGTGTGTGAGCAAGACCTGGTGTGTATGTGAGCAGGGCCAGGTGTGTATATGAGCAGGATCAGGTGTTATGTGAGCAGGGCCAGGTGTGTATGTGAGCAGGGCCAGGTGTGTGTGTGGGCAGAGCCTGGTGTGTGTTCGAGCAGGGCCAGGTGTGTGTGTGAGCAAGGCCTGGTGTGTGTTTGAGCAGGGCCTGGTGTGTGTGAGCAAGACCTGGTGTGTATGTGAGCAGGGCCAGGTGTGTATGTGAGCAGGATCAGGTGTTACGTGAGCAGGGCCAGGTGTGTGTGTGAGCAAGGCCAGGTGTGTGTGTGGGCAGAGCCTGGTGTGTGTGTGAGCAGGGCCAGGTGTGTGTGTGAGCAGGGCCTGCTGTGTGTGTGAGCAGGACCTGGTGTGTGTGTGAGCAGGTTGCGGATACCCGGCACTTACACTGGGATGGGGGCCCAGGGATGGTGGCCGACTGGGGCCGGGTTGGGGCCAGCAGGATGATTGTGTCTGGGAACCTGGACAGGCCACAGGGAAACACAGAACTCCCCCAGGACCCCCTTGGCCTGTGCCCGCCATATACCGCTGGCTCTCATCACCCTCGCTGGGCGCTGCATGAGCCCTCCTCTGCCCCCCTCCCTGGGAACCTCTGATCTGGCGGTGGGCGCAGCAGTAGACCAGCCTCCCAGGGACCCTCTGGGGAAATGCTGGGCCCTCCTCCCTGCCTACCTGCCCCTGGCCCTGCTTTGAGGCCCCCGAGGCCACGGGCACATTCCCGGGCTCCATCCTGACTCTGCAACTCTAGGCCTCCGGAAACTCAGTGCCCGCATCCTTGAAGCGGGCCAACCCTGCCCCCGTCACACCCCAGCGACTTGTGCTGTCGGCAGGCAGGACGAGCCCAGGCCGTGGAGACAGTGGGCGCGTGAAGAGAGACAGTCTCCCCAGGAAACATCCTGCAACCATAGCACCTGGATTCCACCAGGAACCCCGAAGAGGCCAAACATTCTTTCTAACCAGGCTGGGGTGTCCTTGGAGCAGTTCCCTGGAGAATTCCCGATGTGAACAGGGGACAGCGATTCAGAGGCCTGTGGGCCTGGGTGGGAGCCCCCTCCGAGCTCTGCTGCTCAGCGCTCCCTGGCAGCCCCCCAGCCCCAGCAGCTGGAAGGTTAACCTCGTCCGCTACAGGCAAAGTGCCAACCCCTCTGGGTGTGTGGGACCCTGTGCGTGGGACACACTGTGTTGCAAGCTGCATTAAGAAACAGGCTCCGGGCTCCAATGGACACCACAGGCCCTGCAGGGGGAAAGGGCTCCTGGGGGTGGGAGCATCAGAGGGAAGCTTCTGGATGTCACTCGGGCTCTCCCTGGGCTACTGCTAAGCGTCCCTGGTCTTCACTCCCATGGGGACCCCCCCACATCCCCCGAATCTTTACGCCTGGGCCTGGTCCAGGGGAAGTGGTGGGTGCTGAAGCCCCCAGACTATCACTGGGCTCACTGACGGGACCGGGGAGGCCCGGGGTCCTGGCTGAGATCCCATGTACAAGAAACCTCGAGGGCCCCGGCAACACAAGCATTCCTGCGGATCTGATAAAGCTGGCTCGGCTCAGAGCTCACGGGCACAGAAGCGTGCCTGGTGACCGGCTGAGCACAGGGCACCCGAGAGGAGGCCCTGGCTGTGGGCGGTCCCTTACTGGGTGCCGCCAGGCTCTCCGTGAGCACCCAGAGGCTGTGAACAGTGTGCAGACGGAAGAGAAAGAGAACCGACGGGGAGGAGTGTGTACCTCCCTGCCCCTTGAGGCTTCCCTGGCAGGCTGTGTGGGAGGCAGCCGCACACGGACACCAGGCTCCTGGGACGGCCCTCTACAGAAGGCTCCACGTGGCTCGCCTCCCTGCTCCACGGCCTCCGCCAGCGCCCAGGCCCCGGCGACAGGGTCCAGAGCTGCTTCACCCTCGGGCTGCCCTGGAGGGGAACGAAGCCACCGGGAGCCCGCAGACCCCGCGGGGCGCCCGGGACCATCCCCACGCCTGCGTCCTCAGCTCTCTCTCTCTCAGTGCACTTGAGCACAACACGGCCCTTTGGCAATTGTTCACACTTTTTATCATGACGTGGCTGCCCACTCCGTGGCTGCCTCGGACACTCGATGTGAATGACCACTCGTCCCAGCTGAGAGCCGTTCCAGGCGGTGAGAGCCTTCCAGGGGCGGACAAAGCGGCCTTTCTGAGCTGCGGGCTCCCGCGAGACAGCGGGACAGGCAGGAATCCCACTGCAGAGAAAGCGGCCCCGAGACCCCTGTCACGGCCCCTCACGGTCCCAGCACAAGGTCTGGTGCCACCCGGGGCCATGCGAGCAGGACACACTCGGGGCCCAGGCCACGGACCCAGACAGACCATGAAGCCGGGCACCCTGGAGAGCCCCAGGCCGTGGCTGTCCCAAGGAGCTGCCCGAGGAGGAGTAAAGCCGACCCCCCCTGCTGCTCCCGGTCCGAAGATCAAACGGGAGTTCAGAGCAGCAAGCCCAGCATCTGGGGCCAGGGGCCCGTCCTGGCTGTCCTGGACAGTGACCTGACCACAGCGAGGTCACTGTGGGAGCCCCCGCCTTGGACCTGGGGAGCTGCTGTCCAGCTGCCGAGGGGGAGCAGGCCGTGGGGCGCCCAGCACAGGGGGCCAGGCAGCCAGGATGGGGGCCCAGGACAGGCTGTGCACTCTTCAAAAGACAGCCTCATGGGGCAGCTGTCTTTCCAGTAAGGGAAACTGAGGAAGGCTGGGGCTATGGCAGGGTGAGGGCATCTTCAGGCCCACGAGGGCCCCTGGGGAGCCCTCCCCTTCCCCATGATAGCAGGACATTCTCTGGCCACCGTGACGTCAGGGAGAGCCCCTGTTTCCCTCAGCAAGTTTCACAGGGAATCCCAGAGCACCAGTGGCCAGGAGTGTGGAGTGGAGCATGTCTGCATGTGGATCTAAGAAAACGAAGGGTGTGGGGGCCAAAAGAGAGCCCCCAGGGAGACACGGCTGGAGGGGCACCACGGCACACCCCCGTTCCTGAGAGAGGGCCTCAGAACCAAGGACGGGAGAGCGGCATGGGAGGGCGGCCCCCAGACTGCTGCCCAGACCCGTACGAGAATTGACTCGAATCCCCATGGCTCACCGTCCGGGCTGCACTTTCTCTAAAAGCTCTCCCAAGGTGCTCCCACAACAGGGCACTCAGCACAAGTCCACGCCGGAGCCGAGGACACAGGGCGCACGCTACCCACGCTTTACACTCTGATCTTGGCGCGTGGGTTGAACCTGCGGGAGATGCCCTACGGGCTGGGTGAGGACACTCCTGGCTGCTGAGCCCTCCGTCCCCCAGCACACTGCCTGGCCAGCGCCTGAGGGACCTGGATGCTCCTGATGCAGGGGGCAAGCGTGGTGGGGTGAACGGTGACCCTGAGAAAGGCGTGTCCACACCCTGGCACCTAGAGCCTGTGAATGTGACCTTGCTTGCAGATGTCATGAAGCTAAAGATCTCAAGGTGAGGTCTGGACTCCCTGGGGGGCCCTGAATCCAACGACACATGCTCTTGGAAGAGGAGAGATAGACACGAGGCCACATGATGGTGGGGCCACAAGCCCAGGGACCTCTGGAACCCCGGGAGCTGGAAGAGGAGGGACGGACCCTCCCCTGGGTCCTCTGGGTGGAGCATGGCCCTGCCCACCTGGATCCCAGGCTTCTGGCCCCAGAGCTGAGGCAGGAAAAGTCTCTGTGTTACAGCCGGCCCAGAGCAGCCGTGGACGACAGGAGCCAGGTGGTGGCACAGAGAGCCCGGGGGGCAGGCAGGGCCGGATTCCGGGGGCCCCAGAGGATGGGCTCCCAGGGAGGGAGCTCTGCCCACACAGAGACCCGACCTGGCCGCATGGTGGAGGCAGCTGGAGGAGGGGTGTGGCACACAAGCCTGTTGATTCGAGGGAGGCTTACAGCACGAGGAGCAGCCCTGCCGGAGGGGCGAGGCAGCCGCGGCCGGAGGGGCTGCGGCACATGGGCCCCGACCCCGGTGCGGACCCGAGTCCACGCACATGCACAGGCTGACCTGCGAAGCTGGCCACAGACATTAAAGCTTTTCTTCAAAATCCTGAACAAAATATTAGTCAACAGAATCCACTCGTAGATAAAAAGGATCAACACTTTGCAATCAAGTTGGGGCCGTGCTGGGAATGCAAGACTAGTCTCACATGAGGACCCGTCCGTGCAGTCCCTCGTGCTGACGGAGAGTAAATATCGCGTCAGCATCTTGTAAATGCAGGCAGAGCCTTGGATGGAATTCAGCATCTATTCATCATACAAATTCTTAGCAAATCGGAAGAAGAGGGCAAAACCCTTAATATGAGAAAAAGGGTTGCCTGCAAAAAACTAAAAAAGTCATCACACTTAAAATGAAATACTGAAAGCTTTTCTTTTCAAGTCGGAGCAAGTATTCTATTCACCATGTCAGTATAATGAGACAAGAAAAGGAAATAAAGATGTAGAAATGGTGAGAGAAGAAAAACCTCATGATCTGCAGTTTCTAGGGTCGGGCACACACCAGAACTGAAGGAAGTCCTTCGGTTATTAGAATCGGGCGAGTGGGTTTAGCGATGTTTCTGGACACACGGTCAGCGCACGGGGGTCTACCTCACTTCCATGCGGCAGCAAAGACAGATGGTAAAAAGCATTTAGAAATGAACCATTTAAAATATTATGAAGAAACGCAACTCTCATAAAGGACGCACAAGACCATCGACACAGGAAACTCTGTCATTGAAAGAAACAAAGGTCTAAGTAATGACATTATAAACAGGGGTTGGAATCTAAATAAAGACATCCACTGTCCCTAAATTCAACCGCAGTTTTCATTTGACCCAGATACAAATTCCAACAATATTCATGTCTGGGCATCCAGGCGAAGGGCTGTGGACACCGGTGATCTTGAGACAAGAACAAGATGGGCTCCGTGGGCGTCGAGACTGGATGGAAAGCTCCGGAAACGAAGATGGCCCCCTCCGGCGCAGGGACAGGAAGCCCCTGCGGGACGCCAAGAGCCGACGCGCACGCAGACGGGCCTCCACCCCGCCTCGGGTGCTCACGGAGCGCGGCAGGAAAGGCCGAAGAGCCAGGGCATCAGCCGTCCTCGGCACGGGGAAGGATCTGCACCCAGGGACCCCTGTCCTTGAAGGACAGTTGGTGTTTCGTGAAGGCCGCCAGCTTGAGAGCAAGGACTTCCATTCGTCAGAAAACATCACCAGGGGAGAGAAACGCGGGGCCAGGGAGAAGACCTGTCACGCGTGGCAAACGGCGGCTCGTCTCCCGAGTCTGTGAAGGAGCCTGCAACGGGCAGGGCCTGGCATGGGCACTTCCTGCGGGGGCGCCTCCGAGAGGCACGGCCTCAGAGCAGGCGGATGCAGGGCAGCTGACAAGCCGCGGTGAGTCAGAACCAGGGTGGCCGAGGGGGCCGTCTCCCCATGGAGGCAGGCCCTGCCGCCTGCAGACAGCAGGCCAGCGAGGGGCGGGCAGACGCCGACCCCAGGGGCCGGCTGCAGCAACATCCACGGCCCAGGGGCGCAGGGCGGGGCACAGGGACTGCACCCTTGGTTCTCAGAAGCACCACGAAATCATCTCCCACCCGCAAGCTCCCTGCCTTGAGCCAGGGCACGTCCCTAGCGGCCTGCACCCCAGCACACAGCCGTGCGATGGAGAGATGTGGCTTCCCTGCTTCTCTTGGGACAGGCGAACCTTCTGGAGAGGCCCTGCACAGAGAGGAGCCTCGTGCTGGCCACAAGCGTGGCCTCGGGTGGTCCTGCCCGGCCAGCAGACCCCCCAGCCGCGGCCAGGGGACGGAGACCGCCGTCCACACCAAGCTCTGCAGGGTGGCAGATCTGCAAGCAAAGCAAACACGGGCCCTGTCTTAACCCCCTGGTTTGGGGGCAGTCTGTTGTCCAGCATTAAAGGGCTAGAGCGGGGCTGAGGGTCAGCGAGAACCGCGAAGCACACACAGTCTGTAGCGCAGCGTGCATACCTGGACTGGTAAGAGGGCGTGAACGGGCTTTTGATGGACAGCTCGAGACCCAGGGCCGCAGGGTCAGACTCGAGGGGCACCTGCGTTAACATCGGCTCAGGGGCCACACTCACACCCCACGCCCCACAACCTGCCCGCCTGGCTGACCCCTCCCAGGTGCAGATGGGACGATGGGGCGGGTGAGGCCTACACGGGGTCACCGGAGGACGCTGGCCGCTGTGTGGCCCCCCCACTGCAGAGAGAGCTTCCCAAGTGGAGGCTGCGTCTGCTCCCCTGACAACTGCCGGGTGCTCGGCAGACAGGCGGTCACACGGGTGTGACAGGATGGGATCTGGGGAAACGTGGCTCAGGGCAGGAGGTCACACAGAGCCCACAGGGGGCACTGCACTATGCTAAGAAACTTAGAGACACAGGCACGCTGGGGACATGCCGGGACACACTGGGGACACATTGGGACATGCGGGGACACGCTGGGACACGCTGGAGACATGCTGGAACACATGGGGACATGCTGGGACACGGGACACGCTGGGACACGCTGGGGACACACTGGGACACGCTGGGACACGTGTGGCGGCGTGGGCGTGCTCCTTGGAGGACAGGCTTGCAGGTCCCTCTGCTAAGGAGAGGAGCGCAGGCTCTGGGAGAGGGCGGGGAAGATGAGCGGGAAACTGTCACTTCCTGACACTGTGGAAGACTTCTGACTGTTCAGCAAAGAAGGTCCTGCGTTTGGACGTTAACTTGCAACTCACAAGGGAGCCGCCACAGTGTGCCCTCGCCCGAGGTGGGGATGGCGCCTGCGGCCAGACTGACTCCCACGTCGGAGGAGACCTGGAGACGGCAGCCAGGCTCCTGTGGGGAGCTGCCCTTCCCCAGGGGCCGTCCCTGGAGGCGCCCTCCCTGGAGGCGCCCTCCCTGAGGCCCCCAGGGCCAATCAAAGCCATTCCGGGCACTGACTTTCAGAGGCAGTGGGGGCTCCCCCTCTGAAGAGGGCTGCTGAGCACAGACCATACTGTCATTGTGACACCAGGGCTGTGCCCCCCACACACGGGGCAGCCGGAGACCACTTCCCAGCCCCACCCCCCCTTCCCAGTGTACCTGCTGCTCAGCAGCAGGCGCTGAGCATGGGTCGATCCCGCCCAGGGACTGTGGCCCAGGTGGACTCGGCCCTCAGGTCCAGACGGTGACGTCAGGCCGGGCCCAAGGAAGACCTGATACTTCAAGGTGCAGCGGGGCCCCTTGCCCCATGGTCCCAAGATCCCCAGATGGCATCTTGTACGTGCTCCTCCCGCCTCACCAGCAACATCACCAGCTATAAATAGGCCTGGCTCGGAGGCAGTGCGGCCTCTCCCAGAGGAAGCTTTTAATTCTCAGCCTCTCCTGCCGGGAGCGCTCTGCCGCCCCAGGACGGTGTGGCTGCTAAAAGCCTTCTCGTAAATCTCAAGCAGTAATGAATGATTTAAATTTCTTTATGAAATTCTCCTGTGATTTGCTCGTTTTCCACCATGAGAATTTATAACCTTGCATATGGTTACAACAGTTATTTACTGCAACTTCAAAGCATTCAGGAAGATGAGCCAAACAACGCCAGGAAGATAAGAATACAGCCAACACAGCTGCCTCTGATGTCCATCACCCCGTTCTTCTGCACGCGTGGACAGGCATTTTACATCATGGCACCTTCCTGAGTCAGGGAGCCGTCTGGAAATCACGAGAGCCGTACAGCCTTTCCCCAGGAGAGCGCACATACCCTCTTGCGGCAGCTTTCTGCAAACACTCCAGGAAATTCAGCAGCACCCCTCCCCCCATCACCCCTCACGGAGCCCTGTGATTTGGACCATGTGATGGGAGCAGCGGCTGGTACCAGAGACGGGGTCATGGAATCCAGTTTAAGGCACCCATCAAAGCCAGCTTCTCACTGCCCCACCCCCGCTGCCTGCCTGTTCCAAGCTCTCTCTCCCCACCACTCCATCCCCCTGGGGTCCCAGTGCACTCAGGATTCAGGTCAGCCTTGACCAATCACCTCCCAGGAGCCCGGGGCTGACCCCCCACCCCACCCCTGGTGGGTCCTCCCTGAGAGTTTGGAGGTGGGGAGTGCAGGGAGGCCTGCTGAGTGCTGGGTCCTGTTTTCAGCGTCCCCCAGAGACCCTGCCAGCATGCAGTAAATGTCAGGTGAATTAACCAATGAACACGCAGATGGATGACAGCATAGCCAGCTAACCCAAAAAGGCGTCTGATGATCAGAGACGCAAAACGCCTATCAAAATGTCCATGAACAGGGCAGCAGGAATGGATTTTCTTGCCCCCTCATTTCGGGGCTACGTTTATGTAACTGAAACCCCAGAATAAAGGCTTCTCCTCCCGTCTTCCTTCAGAGGCAGGGCCCTGCTCCCCAGAGGTGTGCGCGAGAGAATCTATCAGTCGTGCCAGCCGGCTGTTAGATGGGAGAACACAACACCCCTCCGCGAAGCTTCTGGATTTGCATACTGTAGGTCCCACACTCTCACCTGGGGTGAGGATGGTGACGCAAACACTGGGGCGGGGGGGGGGGCTCGGGACCCCGAGGGGGCGACGAGGAGTCTCTGCCAAAGCATCAGGCTCATTCCGGCCCTTGGTGTGGCCCTGGGTCTCCCAGAATTCGCGCTGCAGGACAGTGACTCCCTTTCACACCCTCTAAGCCCTGATCCCCGCCCTTTCGCGGGCGGCAGCCATCCCGGGCCTGGGCATCGGCAAACAGGGTCCGCGCAGCTGGACCTGGACAGGCCCAGGCGTGCGGTCTGGGGGCGCGGAGCGCGTGCGACGGGGAAAGGGGCTGCAAGGGTCGTCTTTGTCGCGTGAAGCACTGACGCCGGGAAAGGCCACAGCGCCTCACCGGGGCCCATGTATGAACCCACCTGTCTGCAGCGCGGTCGCCGCTGCCCGCGCCCTCTGCGCCCCCAGACTCACGCCCCCGACGCAGCCCCCGGGGGCACGAGCGCGCAGAGCCCACCGCCGGGAAGCCCAGGGCCGGGGTCGCACGGACGCACGGGGCCCGCA